ATATATATATATATAATCTATGATTTACATGTCTTGAACTCATTCGCCATTGATTCTTGAGTTGGTGGATTCGGTTTATTGGTTAGTTCTTCGAAATAACTTTGATGTTGTTATTACTAGATTCTGTTTCTTCTTTTGTGGTTTTCGGATCTTTTTTTCAACTATTGCTTTATTATATAGATTTATTCTTTTGATATCCCTGTCCCTTGTCCCTTCTTTATTTCCAAGATTAGATAATATTATCATCCGTTCGCTATATCCCAGGTCTAAAAATGTTCGGACGCGGTCTGCAAGTTCGGGATCAGTTCTTTACTTGTCCATAACATAAATGAAAATAAAAATGGCTCTAATCTACTGTTTTGATTAAGTTTAATATGTTATCATATAATCCAAAATTCCGGCTTTTGTTTCAGAATGAAGCTCTTCAAGTCGCCTATTCGTCATTACAAAAGAAAGCGGACTACAATCTCTGGAGTGGACTTTCTTCACTGTAAGTATACACATTTTCAACTTAAAAATGAAATCCATTGTGAAATTTGCCTTTCTAACTAAACGAGGCGAGGTTTCCAAGGAAATAATTCGCAGAAATATTTCGCCGATGTTGATATTGCTATACGAAGCTTACAATGCCATTTAAATAATGAAATGTTCATCTCTGCACGTAAATGTTCAAAGAATTTCAGAATCTCCTAGAAACACCGGTAGACTGTCATAATAACTACATTTCCACATTTTTGCCCCGATAGAAAACCTCAACGTAACGTCTCTTTAGAGAAAGAAAACTGCAAACAAAGAAAACTGTAATATAATATAAAAGGTGACATTCTCGACAATGGCTACTCATATAATCTATTTTCCGGTGTACTTTGAAAGCTCTTCCTAAATTAAATCTAATCAAAAAAAAATTCTACCAACAAAACGAAAGATAGATAGATATTATCTATCTTTAATTTTAGAATTCTGTTGCACTGTCATAAACAAATTATTTTCCAAAATCTAGATCTAATTATTTAATAATAAGTAAATTCTTTTTTCCTATTAGCATACAACATGGCGTACAATTACAGCTAAGGTTGCTTCTTGAGGTTCGTCATATTTGATTAGAAAAAATAGAGAAAAGTAATATTGCAAAAGCAGAAAGTAAGTGAACTTAAAACGATTTGTAAGTTCACATTACTATAGATACATTCAAAAAAACAGCATTTATAAATTGCGTTCGTCAGCTGTTGGAATATTTCGAAATTAACTTGGAAGTGTACAATCCTGTGACAATAATGAACAGAATTATAAAATTTGACTTCCCTATTACGTACCTCGGGAAGAAACAGGGTTATCTCAGACTGTAATTCAAATGCAAGCTGAATAAACCCTGTTTAGGAAGGGATTGTTATTGAACAACTGATTTCTGCGCATTTCCATAAGCTTCAGCGCATGCGCTCAATGACTAATTTCATTGCCTCCCGATTAAAAAACGGGTGAAAAAAGGTCATATCTTATACTTCATTTACTTTCTCTACCGAAGTGCCCCTACCAATGTCTTGGATACGCGCTGGCAAAATCGTAGGTAGGGAGAAAAAAGCTCATTATACTCTCGACTTTTGTTCATTAAACATACTTTTTCATATAGTACCTGCCAAAAGTTTTGTTCAATCATGAATAGTAGTGCGAGTCGAAAACAAGCTTAAAGCCTTTAACACGTCTTCAAATATAAATAAACATCTCGTTGATATTTTCAGTAGTAAATGGTACCAATAGCAGCACATTTGAGAAATGCAATTGTAGTGGGTAAAATGGTCAATTTTTCCGTACAGTACCGTACGGATTATACGCTCCTCACCGATTAAGAGTTTGACCGAGAGTTGTCTCCTTCCTTTTCTGGCCTAGTGCTGTTCTTTTCTACTTTGCACCGGTCAAAACTGAAGGTCACATCGCTACAGAAAGTAAACGAAGTATACCTATTTCATAGCACGCAAAACGAGCTTTCCGCGCTAACATGACAAAAACGAGCTTACCGCGGTAATATGACAAAAAGTCAATTTTGTCGATTGCCTGTCAGTTTGTGTTTTCTTCATTTAAATAGTATTTTAATTCATATTTAAATGTTACAGTACATCGTTAACTCCGTAAATATTTAAGAAATAAATTTAGATCGTGAACAGAGCATAAACGTGTAACGTTACATTAAAAAAGGGAACAAAAAGTAGGAACAACTGAAAATCATAATCTGCATTTTGAAATAAATCGACGAAAATCAATAAATATATCAACGGAGATCAAACGAAATTCGCAGTAGTAGTTCTAAAATAAACTTCGTTCGCTTCATTGCGCTAATCTAGTTAGTTGTACGGTTTCGTAAAGTCGCTGTAAAAATGAAAATTTTATTACAAACGCTAATTCGATAAATTGCTTTTAACTTCGTTCGGAAGCGTTATCCTAAGTGGAGATCAGCTATCAGAGACACATCCGGCGTAGAAGATGGAGCAGACAATTTTCAATTTCCTTTAACAAACCGACCCGACCTCCACTGAATTTGACGATGGTGCCTCAAGCAGTATAAAATTATTCAATCCAAACGTTTATCATTGTCTGAAAACATTTCAGGAAAAGATGAAGAATATATTCAACGGGAAGGATAATAATAATTAGACATAATAGTTGAACCTGTTACTACTCGTAATCGTCAAGTTGATATAAATGCGTTCTAGCTTTATTTAAGTAAGACTTATGCTTAATTCAGAAATGACTAATTTTAGGTATCTAGGAAATCAGATAAGTCAGGACGGAAGGAGTAGTAGAGATATAAAGCAGAGGATAGCGCAGGGTCGTGTCGCCTTTAATAAAAAGAAGTCACTGCTATGCTCGCGAACGGTTAATTTAGAAATTCGAAAAAGATTGTTAAAGGTGTATGTTTGGAGCGTGGCGTTGTACGGGTGCGAACAATTAGCTTAACTTCCCATGTGTCAAAAATTTTAACTAGAATTGTACAGAGTAGAATGGGAAAAAGGGCGGAAGAACTATTAGAGGAAGATCAATTGGGGTTTAGAAGAAATAGAGGAACGCGGGAGGACATTCTAGCTTTACGGGCAACAATAGAGAAAACGATAGAAAAAGAAAAGAGGCCGTACATAGGATTCGTAGATTTAGAAAAAGCTTTTGACAATGTTAAATGGGACAAGATGTTAAATATACTTAAAAATGTAGGGATGAGTTACAAAGATAGAAGAGTGATACTTATATAGTTTGTATAAAGAGCAACAGGCTGTTATAGAGCTGGGGCTGCAACGTAGAGAAGTAAATATTAGGAAGAGAGTCAGACAAGGATGCACACTGTCACCGCTACTTTTTAATCTATACATCGAAGATGCGATCAACATCATTAAAGACAGTACAACTGTAGGGATAGATGTTCAATGGCAAAAGATTAGTAAGCTTAGATTTGCAGATGACATAGCAGTGTTAGCAGCTAGCAAGGAGGAATTAGAGATGGCTTTAAATAAAATGGAAGCGGTAATGACAGATCAGTACTGCATGAAAATAAATAAAAGTAAAACTAAAATACTGGTATGCAAGGGAAGAAAAAGTAGGGAAAGAGCAAATATAAAGATAGGAGGCGAAAAATTAGAAGAAGTAGCTGATTTTAGATACCTAGGAAGTCAGATAAGTTAGTATGGAAGGAGTAGTAGGGATATAAAGCAGAGGACAGCGCAGGGTCGTGTCGCCTTTAATAAAAAGAAGTCACTTATATGCTCGCGAACGGTTAATTTAGAAATTCGAAAAAGATTGTTAAAGGTGTATGTTTGGAGCACGGCGTTGTACGGGTGCGAAACATGGACAGTGGGAGCGGCGGAAAAGAAAAGGTTAGAAGCGTTCGAAATGTGGTGTTATAGGCGGATGATGAGGATATCGTGGGTAGAAAAGGTTAGAAATGAAGAGGTATTGGAAAGAATAGGAGAACAGAGGACTCTATGGAAGTCAATAAAAAATAGGCGAGATAGGTTGGTAGGACACCTTCTCAGGCATGAAGGTCTAGTCAGAGACATATTAGAGGCAGAAACAGGTGTTAGGAGGGGTAGAGGTAGGTAGAGGTTAAATTACTGTTCGCAAATAGTTAAGGATGTGGGATGTTCTGGTTTTACGGAAATGGGAAGGTTAGCTCAGGAAAAGAAATAGAGGTACGTGTCCAACCACTCTTAGGACTGGCGACCTTATGATGATGATGATGCTTAATTTGATCAGTCGTGGGCAATAAAATTTCAATTGACTAATAAAAAGACCCCTTTAACTTTTTGAGTTACTTATTAACCTTTTTCCGAGACCGGCGATTGTAAATTCGGTCGATTTAATGGGTTTTTGTTAATTACATTAGCGTGTATCATGTGGTGGCTTAACCCTATGCAATAACTTCCGTCCAAACGAAATAACAGTACCTTCTCTTAGTTACTCTAGTTCTCCGAAGAGTTACATTTACGGGCATCTACAGTTTGATGTTGCAACTGGAAATTGCTTTTCACCCCTAAACAAACTTTTTTTAACAATAGTTACCGACACGAGAGTGCAAGAGCAAAAACGAACGTCGAGGAATATTGGACGATCGTATAAATTTATTTCTGAAAAAATTCGTATTATTTTTCGTATAATCTTTTGAAAGCCATTTGTTAGTACGTATGCAAGATGAATAATTCAACTGTTTTGACAGGCGATGCCGGTAGATAAAAAAATGTATTTACATAAATACAAAAGCTAAACTAAAAATAAATATTATTTTAGGATCCATAACAAATATTCTCTCGGACGAAATTCCCAACTGACCTATCAAAAATAGAAAATATTTTGAATACATGCAAAATTGTACAAACGATTATCTCGAAATGTATATGTATCTGTTAAGTACAATGCATACAGATTTTTTTACGAACGTTGAGAATTGTTTAGGCAATCTGATGAGAATAAATAAAAATTGTATACTAAAAATTAAACTGAAAATGCTCATGGAAGGCTTCACGATTTCCGAAGATATTAGTGCATAATCTATAGATTTAAAGACATTATCAATGACTTATACGAACAATAATAAGCACCTTTTACCAAAATGACAACATATCTTAACTTCCCTCTTTAGTACTTACACACTTTACACTCATTTTCTTCCTAAAATCTTTCTATTACATCCAAATCCTTTTTCCATTTCGCGTATTTTCGCTCAATCTCCCACTGCCCATGCTCCCAAAGCAATGTCTTCATACATTTCAGATACAAAGGTCGTTTGAAAAATCCCGGGCCCATCAATGAAAAAAGCCTATTTTTATAAGAAATATGCTTCATTTTTCAACGCAGTCACAATTTTTGTCGTTGAAATATCCATCACTTCGTCATTACTTAAAAATCTCTATCCTCCGAGTCATTTTTGGAGATTGTGGAAGAGGTAATTGTGAAAGGAAGCTAAATCTGGTGAATACGGTGGATGGTGGAGCAATTCAAGCTTAGATCGTG